TCGCTTCGTGAAGCTGATTTCCATCTGGTTCCATACAATATTTTCCACCATCAATTATTTATTTGGCTGATTGACTGACAGAGTGATTGAATGACTGAGTGATTGACTGACTAACTGAACGACTTCCTAAGTGTTTCACTCAATCAAACTGATTGACTAGGTGACTTTTTGAATGCCTGATTGATTGATTGGCTGAGCGTTTGAATAGTTTGCTGATTGACTGACTGACCACGTGACTGATTGACCAAATAACTAATTGATTGATTGACAAACTGATTGACTAACCGACTGATTGACTGACTGACTGATTGACTCATTGAGTGGCTGATAGACTGGCTGCCTGATTGACTAACCGACTGACTGACTGATTGACCGACTGACCGATTGACTGAGCAATTGCCCGATTTACTGACTGATTTATTAACTGAGCGACTGTCTGACTGATTCACTGCCTGAATAATTGAGTGATTGAATGACTGACTAACTGAGTAACTAAGCGGCCGGTCGCCGGTTCAATGTTTTTATTTGTTTCTTTAACTTGTTCAATCACATAGAAAACACAATGTTTTGGCAAACGGAAGCTTGCGTTTTTACACACTCAAAAAAAACGCCATTTATTTTCTGGATCTAAGCTAACCTTAAAAAAAAAGAAAACAATTTCAAGTATATAAAAATATTTAGAACTGCTTGCAGGGTAACTCACAGTCGGGCATTTTCTGTATATCTTTTCTTTCTTTTTTTTTTTTCTCTTTACAACATACTCAAGTTATTATTATTGTTGTTTCTGTTTGGTTATTACGCGTATTAGCTTTTGTGTGAGACAACCGCCCCGCCTTATAACCAGCCCCCCCCCCCTTCGCCCGCCACGCCTTCCCCTGGCTCGTGCACGCCAGAGTTGTCATGCGTGTGCCCAAATTGCAGAGGATTATGGGTCTTAATTTTATGATTGCTTCTTTAATCAGAGACCCAACTGCACACCAATTATGTCCTGACTGTGCTAATTGTTTCTGCTGCCTTGATTCTCTCTCTCTCTCTCTCTCTCTCTCTCTTTCTCTCTCTGTGTGTCTTCTGTTTATTGTAGTTGTTGTGGCCCGCTCCTTGGGGCCAACTCATTTGATGTGGCCCTAATCGATGTGCGTTATTTGCGATTAGTCGAGCGCCAAATGAGCCACGTAGTCACGAGCATTTTGCCAGGAACTGGGCAGGGTATGGCGTCTTAGCCATCATTTGTCTCGCTGCCAGACTTCATCCGGCCCCAAAAACTGCCAACCCCTTCAACCAACTGCTGTTGATGCTTGCTCGGAGTTTTGGTTTTCGGGTCCGGAGCATAATGAATGCGTGTTTAGCCATAATAAAATGTAGCGGCATTTCCCAACAAGCCACAAAAACATGGCACAATCCACATACCTGATACACTCAGCGAAAATATGCTGTCCAAATTAAAAATGTGCATCGCAATTGCGCATCGATAAATTGAAATGCCTCAATGCATCGATATACTCAACATGCTGCCATTCTCCTTATATCGATAACTTTCGATTATTTTAAGTCTTGCTTTTCGAGCATAACTCAAAGATATTAAAAGCTGAATATATTTCAAAGTTATTCGGACTGAAGAAACAGCACGCCGCTGCTCGACGTTGATTACAGGGTATCAGCTGGTCGAGCACGCTCGACTGGAGCACTCTTAATTGTCAGTTCAATAGATAAATGTTGATTTTCAGATTAATTAAGAAGGCAGCTCGTGTTTTTTAACGTGTAGCTGGCTGCCCCAGGACTGATCCGGAGGCCACCCGCAAGTTGTTGTTGTTGGTGTTGTTGTTGCTCTTGTTGCAACAAGAATGCAATAAAACATTTTGCAATGCAATGCGGCACCGCAATCATTTTGCAGTGCAACATGTGGCGGTTGGGATCGCACAAAAGCACCGACAACTAACCAAAATCCGTTGCCCAAAAGCTCCGGCAATGCTTCCCCTTCCTCCACACACACCCCCCTCTCTTTCTCTTTCTCTCTTCCAGTTTGTCTAGTCATGCTGAAAAAGTCGTAAATAAATAATATGCATGTACTTGTCCATTGCAACCGGGCGGCAGCAACAATAATAAACATTTTACCCGACCCAGCCGACTTCCGCATATCCTATAGCTTGATTTTCAAAAATTAGCCAGTTAATGAATAATGAGAATAATGAATAATGAATAATGAATAATGAATAATGAATAATGAATAATGAATAATGAATAATGAATAATGAATAATGAATAATGAATAATGAATAATGAATAATGAATAATGAATAATGAATAATGAATAATGAATAATGAATAATGAATAATGAATAATGAATAATGAATAATGAATAATGAATAATGAATAATGAATAATGAATAATGAATAATGAATAATGAATAATGAATAATGAATAATGAATAATGAATAATGAATAATGAATAATGAATAATGAATAATGAATAATGAATAATGAATAATGAATAATGAATAATGAATAATGAATAATGAATAATGAATAATGAATAATGAATAATGAATAATGAATAATGAATAATGAATAATGAATAATGAATAATGAATAATGAATAATGAATAATGCATAAATAATGATTAAATAAATAATGAGTAATGAATAATGAGTAATGAATAATGAGTAATGAATAATGAATATTGAATAATGAATAATAATTAGAAATAATAATTTACGAATACTAAATAATAATGAATGAACACTAAATGGACGAATCAATACTAATGAATACTAAATAATAATAACAATTGACAGGCAATCGACAATTGTTGAGAAATATTGCAAAGTATGCAAAAATAGAGAAGTAATCAGGAGGAGAATGCATTTGCGACATTGCATGCTCTGCTTTATGAGAACTAATTAATTAATTTGAATTTAAACTAGCTGTGGGCTGCGGACTGCTGAGCAATTAATAAAAATGTCATGAAAGTTGCAGGTAAATAGAAAAGCGCCGGAACATTGTTTTACTTTGTGGCACATACCTCACGAGGAGTCCGGCGAAATGCGTAAATGCCGCGCGTATGTGTGGTATTTTTTAAAAAATATTTTCAGCTTTATTTTAATTCTTCATTATATTTTTTTTCTATGTGCGACTTAACTAATTAAAACTTTATTGCATTTGCTTGTTTTCGGGATTTGCTGTTCAGTTTATTTTTTGCGCGGAATTTTATACCCTATGCCCACGACAAATCGGTAGAGAGGGTATAATGTGTGTAAGAGTGAGTAGAAAGCAGCTCCAAGTCCATAAGCGATATATATATATATATATACATATATATATTCCCGTTCAGCCGAGTCCACTATTCCACTATACCATTAGTCATTCAGTTAAGATTGCAGACATCAATTTGTGAGCTTCAAAATTTTGGATTTGAATTGGAGTTAATTGTGAAGACAGTCGTCCATACAAAGTGTGGATCCGCCGGTGCTTAGGGTATCTGCTCGTCGGGCACTCATACACTTTGTTTTTTTTGTGCTACTCATAATTTTTGGGATCAAAGGGTTGCCAATGACAGCATTAGCCTTTTTTTCTGTACGCCGCGAACTGGACGCAGCTTTGTCTTTTATTCAACCCAATTGCAAATGTTATCAAAGCGAAGCAGAGCAGTGAGAGAGAGAGAGAGATGAAGAAGGGGCGGGATTGGGCTGCGCCTATCAGAGCCTGATTGCAGAGACGAGATAAAACTTGAATGCTTTTAGGCGAGATATTTTGCGAAAAAGCCAGAGTCTCTTCGAGAGTCATTAAGTTTATTAAGTGCCCGATGTGCAGATAACCCAAATGAGTGCATGCCAAATGGAAGGGCAACGCAATTTACGCTTTCAATGCAAGTTATAAGTTGCCCCACCCCCACCCCCCTTCCACACACCCCACGTCTGTCTCCTGTGCCTACACAAATACCACCTTATGATATCTGGGTGCACACCCCCCCCCCCCTCTCCACCCACCACGCTTTGGTAAAGTTTGCCAGCAAAGTACACGAACAAGTGGAAGAGATAACAAACAATGTGCGGCTGCGGTGTCGGGCAAATTGCCACTGCCAGCTGCAAACTTCTCTACGGACCGCAAAGATTACCGCTATCAGTAAGCGAGAGAGAGGGAAATGGCGAGAACGAGAGAGGAAGAGCGTGAGAGCGCGCGCAGATAACGATTGAGTGCCGTGCCAGCTGCAAACTTCTACACGGACCACAAAGATTATCGGACTCTCAGTAAGCGAGAGAGAGCAAAGCAGAAGCACGAAGAGAGATAGAGAGAGAGAGAGAGCGCAGAGTACCGTGACCGTATTACATTATTTTCAAGTGCAATAAATATGCTCATTTATTTGTTATCGCTTGTGAAAACAATCGCATTGGTTAGGCGGATCACTTCTAGCTGACCTTATCGCCATAATCCACAAAGAAAACCTATTTATAATTGATAAACAAGCGGCTGGCAAAATGTACAGTTCGCCCACCGCAAACTATTTGCGTATGATACATAAAAAAAATGTACTAAAGCATTTCTCTGCATTCAATTTGTACACTAAAAACAAAAAGCCTAAAGATATTGATTCAAATTCAAATTCAAATTGAGTCGATTGCATTTCGATAATTGATTAACAGTTTGCAGCCAGTCAAATGCTGTCTGCTATGACACGTCACATTGAGCAGTCTGGCAGTCACTGTTATCGATAGGCTTGCGAGCATATGTTAATTTTTCATTTGGTATGCTGCTCCCAACTGTTGCGCTGAGAATCAAATATAAACAATAAATAAATTGTTGCAAACTATTTGATTTCATATTTTGCTACAGGCACAAACTTCTTCTGGGCAATTATCTTACAATAAATTAAAAAATAAATCACAAATATTGAAACCGTTTAGCCCTGCCAGCCAAAGCAAAAATTTTTGCCAGCTGCGTGCGTGCGAGCAGCATACTCGCCTGGCTGTCAGCGTCGTCTATTTAACGCGGTCGCGCTGTTTGCGGGGAGCACTCAACATTTGGTTGCCGCCAGCGACGCGGGCGTCGTTCAAGTCCGAGTTGTCCGCTATTTATTAATCTTAACAATTATAATTTGTAGTATTGTTTGTCGCCAATAAGAAAAAGCAATTATTTGCAGCTTTGTGCTTTTTCAAATTTCGTTTTGTTATTTGTTTTCGTTTTGGCCTCCATTTGTTTTCATTTTGTGCCTTACCCAACCCACACACACACACACACACGCGCACGCACGCACACAGATAACGGCATGTCGCTAAAGTGTAATCCGAAAAGTGTGCGACAGTTAATTCAGTTCACCAATTGCCGTCTGGTGCGCGACCATCGGCTGATCGTGGACGATCTGTGGGTGCGAGACGGCAAGATCATCAATCCGGAGCCCGTCTTCTATGATGAGCGCAGCAAGGCGCATCGGCGCATCGATTGCGGCGGCGCCATCATAGCGCCCGGCTACATAGATTTGCAAATCAACGGTAAACAAAAACAGTTACAGCCGCCAGCTAATTTCACTTTTCGATTTAATCTTATCGCCATTTGCTCCACTGTGCATGAACAAGATTGCCAATGAAATAAACACAATGCGTTAGAGCGGTGCAGCAATAGACAAAGACAGCAATAGGCAATTTGCATGCACGACTCACGCTCATTCGCTCTCTCGCTCGCTCTCAGGTGGCTACGGCGTGGACTTCTCGTACGACAAGGAGACAATTGAGGCCGGCGTTGAGAAGGTTGCCACGGGTCTGGTGCAAAATGGCGTCACCTCGTTTTGTCCGACGCTGGTGACGTCACCGACGGACAGCTACCACAGCATATTGCCGCGCATGCCGCAGCACATCGATGGCGGCGCCAGCATATTGGGCGTGCACGCCGAGGGTCCGTTCATCAATCCGCAAAAGAAGGGCGCACATCCGGAGAACTGCATCCAGACCATTGACAATGTGCGTCCAATTGCTGCTGGCCATGCCACAGATTCTAATCGGCGATATTCTTTGCCCTTCAATCGATTTGTAGGGCCTGGACACGCTGCGCGCCACCTACGGCCAGCTGGAGCGGATCAAGATCATAACGCTGGCACCGGAACAGGTGCACGATCCGTGCGTCATCGATCAGCTGGTGGCGTCAGGCATCACCGTCGCCCTCGGCCATTCCATGGCCAGCCTCAGCGACGGCGAACGGGCTGTCCAGCATGGCGCCACACTGATCACGCATCTGTTCAATGCCATGCTGCCGTTCCATCATCGTGATCCCGGTCTGGTTGGCCTGCTCGCCTCGGATGCCATACCGCCGGGTCGCACCGTCTATTTCGGCATCATTGCCGACGGCGTGCACACACATCCGGCCGCGCTGCGCATCGCATATCGCACCCATGCCGAGGGACTTATTCTGGTCACCGATGCCATTTCGGCGCTGGGCCTGGAGGACGGAGTCCATCACATTGGCCAGCTGCCGCTGGAGGTGAAGCGTGGCAAGGCGTTTATAGCCGGCACCGATACGCTCTGCGGCAGCATTGCGCCCATGGACGAGTGTGTGCGCATCTTTAAGCGCGCCACAGGTGCGCTTCCAATCCGATGCCAATTGGATTTACAATTCCAATTGGATACATATTAATGCCATACACTTGCAGACTGCTCGACGGTATATGCCATTGAGGCGGCCACACTGCATCCGGCGCGCTGTTTGCGCATCGAGCGAGAAAAGGGCACACTGGACTTTGGTACGGATGCTGATTTTATACTGCTCAACGATGACCTACATGTGCTGTCCACCTGGATAGCGGGCGTTTGTGTGCATCAAGCAGCTAGCAACAACTAAACCCATACCACACTCCATACCCAGCCCCTCCCATCCATTCGCCCCACCATCCACTTAACGCAAATTGGCTGTTTGTTCTTTTATGTTGTTGTTGTTGTTGTTGTTGTTGTTTTTTGTTTCTTTATTGGATTAGATGACGCTTTAAATTGTTCTTTATATTTAATCATTAAATCATTTGGTGTGGACAACTACGCTAAATCCATATACATTTACAAATAATAAGTATTACGAAAAAAAAAAATAATAGTTTATAGTTATGTATATATATATATATATATATATATGTTTATATATATGGTAGGCGGCGCATTGGCCAAGGCTAAGAAAAGTTCTTATAGACACGCCCCGTTGGCCAATTTGTTTATTTAGCATTTTTTTTTTTTTTTTGCAATCAGCTGTTGTAAACATAATTACATTTAAACATACAATGCGTTATTTTTTTTTTTTTTTAATATGCAGCTCGTTTCAATTCTCGCGCGTTCTGCTGCTTCTTTCCACTCCTTAACAAAACGGCAATTTAAAGCTAAGCTAACTAACGGTTAAACGCCAAGCAGGTAGCCAAAACAGAATGGAAAAAAAAAATGCTCAAAAAGAATTTAACCAACAATACATTTGTATGCATGCGCATGTGTGTGTATGTTGAGTGTGTTTATGCATATGTATATGTTTTCAAAAAAAAAAAATAGAAATAATTTTCAAAACATGGTCACATGTTTCGTCAAGTTTTCAGGCTTTCCTGCTGCTGCAGCCAGACAGAGAGAGAGAGAGAGAGAGAGGTTGTAAAAAACGCGTACATAAATAGTTGGTATATTTTAAGTGATTTGTGGTATTTAAGTAATTACCATATACATATACAAATACATTTCAAGTGTGTGTGTGTGTGTGGGTGTGGGTGTGTAAGTGAGAGAGTTTAAGTCGCATGTGCGTCCGTTTCAGTTCCGTCTGTTTCACGTTAGCTAAGTAGGGCCCGCATGCCACAAATTCTCGTGACACGCAAAATGCATTTTAATTTTTTTTTTTTTTTTTTTTGTTCCTTAATTTGCAGCTGTTTCGTTTTCCGCTTGGTTCGTTTCCTTGTGCGTTAACTAACGTACGCTGTGTGTTTGTTTGTTTGTTTGTATTTTGTTGTAGTTGTTGTTTTTGTAAATTTACTCCAAATAACATTATAAAATATTAAACTTTAGGTAGGTTGTTTCTTGGTTGTTACTGCCATAAATGTGTATGCATGTGTGTGAGTCTATGTTTATTGCTTTCGTTTACAGTTAAATAACTGCTGTCCCGCCCTTTGTGGGGTTATGACACTTGTTAGTTTTGCCTAAAGTTGGTTGTTTTTTTTTTTGCGCAGCATAGGAAATGTCATTAGTGGGAGGGAGACAGGACGTGTAGGAGTACCGTTGAAATTGGGCATCTCGATTTTTAGATGGTAGGGTTGCCACCCAGTAGAAAACGCTTTTTGGTGTTTTGTTTTGTTTTTTTCGTTTGTTCATATAGTAATATTAAAGGACCTATAAAAAAAAAGTTACAAAAAACACACACACACAGACACGCACGCACACGCACACGCACATTGAAGAAAAGCACTAGGTTTTTGCCAAAATTGTTATATATGTATATATATACATATAGATATATATGTATGTATGTATGTATGTATGTTCTGCATGTATGCATGTAGATCACAAAACCAACCGTGAACGTTAAACTAACAAGTGTCATAACCCCATTACGCACAACACTTGTTGTAGCCCGGCGCCTTGTCGCTATTGGCGCGATCGATGACCACCCTTTCGGGATTCTCGGCCGATTCGCGTCCAGATGTTTTATCCAATATGGCCTCGGCAAGTTCACAAAATGCGCGCTCAATGTTTATATTTGATTTGGCGGATGTTTCCATAAACCGTATACCATGCTCCCGGGCAATCTATGTGGGAGAGCAAATACATTGAGTGAGAGTGAGAATGGGAGAGAGAGAGAGAGAGAGGGAGAGCGTGTTTGTATTGAATTGTGGATAATTTACCGCCTCGCCGCGCTCTTTGCTGACCACTCGCTTGTCCCCCATATCGCACTTATTGCCCAATATCATCTTCTCCACATCCTCATTTGCATGCTACAAGGGAGAAGAAGAATAGAATAGAATGATGAAAGAGAATGCCGCTGGCTGGCCGGCTTGTAGCTTACCTCGTCTATGTTCCGTAACCATTTGACTATGTTCTCGAAACTTTTCTCGTTCGTTATGTCATAGACGAGCATTATGCCCATTGCGCCACGGTAGTAGGATGTGGTAATTGTGTGAAATCTCTCCTGGCCGGCAGTGTCCCATATTTGTAATTTAATTTTTTTGCCTCTCAGTTCGACTGTTTTAATTTTGAAATCGATTCCTGCAAGAAGAGCCAGATCGTTTATTATATTAGTCTTAAGCCAATTACAGAAATGACGTCACAAGTGCGACTTGTTTATCGTTTATCGTGCTGTGTGCATGAAAGTGTTTGATAACGATTTATTTAGTTGAAACCTGAAGAATGTGTTCCTTTGTATATGAATCACAATACACATACACAGCCATACACATATGTATTGCATGTACATACATATGCACATGTATATACAGATATGCGTCACAATAATTAATCTAGTTTACCAACACTCAGCACAGTGGTTAACTAGCAACAACAACAACAACAGCAACAACAGTTACTAAGTTGAATGCGACTTATGCGGGCTTCGAGTGCAATTCATCAAGTCCAAAGGCTATCGCATCCGGCGCAGTAAAGGCCACAGGGAGCATGTATCAAGAGTTGGAGTGCGTCAGTGGAGCGTATTAAGACAATGCCACGCCCAAAATGCACAGAGATGTGTCCGTGTCCTTGTGGTTTTTGGGCGCCGCCTTTAACACATATTGGCAATTGACAATGCCTCTTACCAACACACAAACACACACCCAAAGAGCGGCAGCCACTTTGCAGGTACATGCAATACATACACACACACTCACACACACACGGCACAGAACACGCATACATACATAGGCATTGGTAACTGAAGACTGCGCCATTTGCTTACCTATGGTTGATATAAATGTTGATGTGAATGCATCATCCGAAAAGCGGAATAGTATGCAGGTCTTTCCAACGCCGGAATCGCCAATTAGTAGAAGTTTAAAAAGTAAATCGTACGTTTTCTTTGCCATTTCACGTTACGGCACGCGCACAAACGCACACACACACACACACGCACACACGCACGCACTCACGCACCCGCACAAACACACTCACACTCAGAGTCACACACACACAGGTTCTGTATAGAACAAAGCAAATACACACACATACACAGTTGAGACAACAATTATATGGGTTTCTTTTGCTCTTGTTATGATTTATTTGTTGTTATTGGCGCGCAATTTAATTGCCAATCAAATATTTGCAGAAATTTTATACGCTTAAGCACTTTATTTTTCTACGCAATGCAATTGTTGCTGTTGGTTTAAGTGTGACCGCAACGGCAGACGCGATTAATACCCATCATATTTATTGGTGCGCTGTTGCAGTTCGCTCTTTGTTTTGCATAAATATCGATATATTTGGTATATATTATATACACACTGCCAAATGCAACCCTGCTGAGCACACGCGACCTACATCAACTCGTATTGCTCGGAATTACTAAAACTATGGTTCCGCATTGAATTTAAACTCGCCCATCCAGTTTAATTCAATTGAGAATTGCTTTATTACCATCTGCTAGTTGGATAGTTGGATTTAATGTCATGATTAATCGATATATCTTTTGCGATACTATCTGCTCACTACTTTCACCAATATGCCGTTACCCAACACTGAAACCGCTACATACATATAAACAAGGGTACACAATAAATAAATATTAATTGCGATCATTTTTGGTTACAATCTTTGTGCATATTATGGACCTGGACTGGCAAAACAGTCTAACAGAGATCAAGGATCGCGGCCAGTATCTGTTGCACTCTGAGAAATGGGCCGATTGCCGATTTCTGGTGGGCACTCCGCCAAATCAACGCATCATCGCTGGCCACAAGCTGCTCCTGGCGATGGCATCGCCCGTCTTCGAGCGCATGTTCTTTGGCAATCTGCCGGACAAAACGGATCCGATAATAATACCCGATGTGCAGCCGGAGGCATTCGAGGCCATGCTCGAGTATATCTATACGGATCGGATAACCATCGGCTCCTTCGACAAGGCCTGCGAGCTGTGCTACGTGGCAAAGAAATATATGCTGCCACATGTGGTCACACGCTGCACGCATTTCCTCTGGGCCGATCTGAGTCCCAAGAATGCGTGTCGCGCCTACGAGTTTGCCAAGCTGTTCGATGAGCCGCGCCTAATGCAGAGCAGCATGGATCTGATAGCGGCCAATACACGGGAAGTGCTCTCCGATCCCAGTTTCCTGGACATTGAGGTGTCCACACTAATGGCCATACTGGATCAGCATCGGCTCAACATTGACTCTGAGCTCGATTTGTTCAATTGCCTGCTGAAATTCGCCAGCGAACGCGGCATATTAAATGAGAATGGCAACGATGATATGGCCAGCGGCAGTGGGAACAACAACAAGTCGGGCTCAGCCTGCACAGAGCATCCGGACGCGGCGGCCAATGAGATTGTCGAGGAGATCAAAATGGAACCCGACGTGGCGGCCATGGTGCAGCACATGCATCAGGACGAGGATGTCGATAGCTACAAGCATGTCAGCGAGCAGGCGACAACGGGCAACGGCTCGGCCTGCAGTTCGCCGATACATGCGTCCAGCTCCTGCAGCTCTTCGTCCGCGAATGCCAATGCGAATGCAGCTGTGGCCAACGACGATGTGGTCATCATTGACAGCGATGCCTCCGGCAATGCCAACGATGAGATGAACGCCGCCGAGGCGGCGGCCAATATGATCAATATGATGGATGCACAGCGCACGATCATGGATGGGGCGATGCTGCGCCAGGCGGTCAAAAAGATACGCTTCCTGACAATGACGCCGCAACAGTTTGCCGAGGGACCGGCACGCTCCAAGCTGCTGCAACAGCACGAGGCATTGGCCATACTCATCAAGATCTCCAGTCCCACGCTGAACGACTGCAATATGCCCGAGGGCTTCTGTGTCTCGCGCAGCACGCGCAACTTTTATGAATCATCGCATCGGCAGCGCGAGCTGAACTCCTCGTATCGCCATGCCGCCGGCTGCAGCAGCAGCAGCACAAACAATGCCACAAATGCCGGTTTCCGGCCGGATGCCATAGCGCGCGCCTTTGCCATTCCGCAGCACAATCAGCCGCTCTTCACACGCCAGCGAATCAGTGTGCCGCTCAATCTTGGTGCCGGCGGCATGGATCATGTGCCCATGCAAGGTGCGGGCTTTGGTTTTGTCGATGAGCCGCTCGCCCTGCCCAACAATCCGCCCTCCAACGGCGATGCCTACGAGGGCGCCCCGCCAGCCCCAGCGCCAGCGGCAGCAGCTGCTGTTCCGCCTGGCAACGATAACGAGGTCGCCGTCGCCGTCGCCAGCAACTCGCACCACGACATGACGCGCTCCTACTGCATGCGCTCCATGACACGCCAGTTTGACTATCGCAACACCAGCGTCACCGACTGTGGCGTCACCTTTCAGGTAAGCTTTCGACCTCCAAGACCTAGAAGGCTTGTGTCCACCTTTAGTTTCCACTCAAGCAGGTGGAAAATGTGGGCAAAAGCATGGCCAGCAACTTTGCCAATTCCACCTAAGAGAGTGAAAGTTGTTAAAAAGTACATTTTCATTCATCAAATCAAAATCATCAAGGTGGAAAACATACACCCTGTAGATTCCACCCAAAGGAGTGAAATTGCTCTTGCTTTAAAAATAGGAGAAAAAAATGTTTTTTTTTTTTTTAAAACATTTTAGTTTACGCCCAAAAAAAAAAAACAATCACAATGAAAAGCTTCACAAAAATGAAGCTGAAAGAACGGGTGGAAAAATGTGCACTGCAACTTTTTTGTTGATTCCACGCAAAGAAGTGAATTTGGTTACACTTTTCACAGTTAAAGGCTGTGATTGATTGACTTGATTGTTTTCATTGAAATCGTTTGTAGATTTCACCTAAAAATTGGCAAAAAGGCTTTCACACACAAGAGTGAAAGCTGTGCGGATAAGCTTTGTCTGAGAGCTTACGATTCACACATGTGCGTGAAATATAGGTGGAATTCGAATAGCTTCCGTCATTTTCTTAACAATGTTTGCCGTTCCATTCGCCAATTGCCTTTCAGGTGGACACCAACATTTGGATATTGGGCGTTCAGGTGCCGACGCAGGTGCTTTGCGGCGAACTGATGAATTCGGCCGGCTTTGCTGAGCGCTACACCGAGGTGCTCTATGCGCACATCCAGGATATGCACGGTTCACGAATCACGTATACGCACTGTACGGCGCGGGTGCGCTACGATTCACATTTGGACATCACATTCGATCGCCCCGTTTACATCTATCGCAATCAAATCTACAAGATCTATGTCGTCTTCAATAAGATGGGCTGGTATCCGATGTACTCGTGCGTACCGGACATTGTCCGGCAGCGCGTCAAATTCATGTTTAATGTGGGCAGTCCGACGGAGTCGGTGCGCGACGGCCTCATTTATGCGATCATATTTTCAACGCCGCAGGATCATGCGCGTCATCTGATCGATTGATCGACACAAAGCGATCCATGAATTTCGATGTGATAGACTATTATTATTATTATACGTGTGTTTTTTTTTTTCGATTTCAACAGTGAAACCTGCCACGGTACGACTTGACGCCTTTTTTTCTTCTTCTTAGATTTGTAGCCCGCTTTTTTTTTTTCTTTATAAATAAATAATATATATATTTCTCGATTTTGAGTTAACGATAAGTTAAGCCTTGCCAAGTTTGGGCCTTTTCAAGCGTTTCAGCTCATTTTTTAGCAAGAAGTTTTCGAAGATTATGCAACTTTTTGAGTTTATTAAGATTCTGGGCCTTGATAATTGGACTCAGAATCAGGTTTTCAGAAAGTGAAGTATTTTCAATGTGTAAAATCTATACAAGTTGCCATATATCAAGTTTGCTGTAGCTGTCGCTTGTAATTTTCGAGTTAGGCTTGAAAAACCCTTGTCTTAAAATCGATTTTTCTTATCGATATATCGATATAAATGCTATGCGATATAATATGCTATAGGAGAATCTGCAGCCTTTGTAGTTGTCGAGCTTCTAGACAAGGCTCCGCTCAGAATATTGTGTGTATAGACTTCATTTGTTGGTAGAAGTGAAAAAGGAAAACAATTTTTTTCTAATTTTTCAAAAATATTACAATAAATAAATTTCAAGTTTATTGCATTTAGTGCTCATTTTGAAAACAGCAAAAAAAAATATACAAATGATGATTAACAATATATGTTTATATTTGAGCAAAAAAAAAAAGAAGAGTGTGGAATATTATCGTTAGTTATTGCAATATTTGATGCTAGGAAATGGGTGCAGTGCGAGCGGGACAGACATATAGGCCGTGTGCATGAACGAGTGACAAACAGAAAGGGAGAGCGAGCGAGAGAGAGAGATAGAGAGCACAAGAGAGAGCGAGAGCGCGGCTCAAGCAGCTTTACATACATATGTACAGTTGAGTTTGTGTGTTTTTTTTATTGTTTGTTTTTTTGGAGATACGGTCACACTATTTGCCATAGTTGGCACAGCCGCCGCTGGCATATTCGGGCTCCTCGCAGGTGAGCGTATGCTCATCGAACACCTTGTCCTCGCCGCAGCTAATGAGACGCGGATAGCCCTCGACGCATGTGATCAATCGATGGCAATCGCCCTGCACAGGGAACCGGGGGAAGGGCCAGAAGCGTGCGGCAACCGAATTGGGATCCACCTTAGTCGGACACTTGAAGCCCACAACAGCTGCAAGAAGAAGCAAAAAAAAGAAACAGTTCGATATGATTTGGTATAAGCAGCTGGGTCATGTCTCACCCTCGGGATTGCAGTGCTCGAGCAGCTGATCGGGCCAATTGCAGCCATGGATGCGCTCATCGTATGCCAAGCCCGCATCGCAGTCCTGTTCGTGCGGCTCGCCGTGGGCGCACTTGATGTACGTTGTCGAGCACTCCTTGGAGACGGCATACAGTCCAAATTGATATTCGCAGCCAGGCGTCGAAATGGGCGTGGCTGCAAAGGAGAAGGAAGGAGCATTAAGTGTGTGTGTGTGTGTGTGCGAATCTTTTCAGAGCGGACTACTCACGATCCCAGTGACGGCCCTTGCAGTCGACAGCCCAGTTGTAGTTGCAATGGTTGTGAACGGCGCCCTTGCCATCGAAGAGCAGGCCGTTCTCGCAGGTCTCCAGGGTGAGGGTGCCGTTGGTGCAGAGGAAGAACTGATCGCAGTTCTCGGTATGCGCGTACGCCTGAACGCCATATTTCTCGGGGCATTCGGGTGTGCCGACGGCCAGGCCGTGTCCTGTAATTTAAATTGTTATCGTTATCGTTCATGTTATCGAGATCTTAATTGTTATCGATATTTTCATCATCCTCTTTATTACTATCGCCATCAAGATCGTTTTTGCTATTGTGTGACTTTTACTTGTGCTATCGATATTCGCAACTCTAATGTTATCGTTATCGATATCGATATTGTTTATTGTTATTAGAATCTTCATTGTTCTCTTTATTACTATCGACATCGATTTGTGTTATCGCTAATTGCAATACCTATGTTATCGATATTGCTATCTCGATTGTTCTCATCATGATCGTAATCAATATTCTTTTTGTTATTGTATTATTACTTGTCTTATCGATATTTGCAACGCTATTGTTATCGTTTACGTTATCTATATTGATTGTTATCTATATCCTCCTTATGGGTATCGATATCGATACCTTTTTTGCTATAGAGTTCTGTTTGACTTATGTTATCGCTAGTTGCCACGCTAATGTTATCGTTTTATTGTTACTTTACCTATCGATTTCTTTACTCTTACAGAAAATCGATAATCGTTTTGTTATCAATATCGACAATATCTGCAGTGGACATATTATTGCCATGGCTGACAAGAAAGTTATTCTCATTGTTATTTAAATCGAAATGCGTATCGCTATCGACTTATCGATATGTTATCGATAACAATATTGTTACGGATTATAGACTTATCGCCCAGTTATCAGCTATCATGATTTTTAGCGACTGCCTTTTGATATTGTTATCGTTATCAATGTGTGAATGCCGTCACATTAGCCTTCCTGATGCATTTTTGTTATCGATAAACTAGTAAAATTGACTGTTATCGCCATCGCTGGCGCTGTCAGAGCAATCAGCTATTGCTCGCATCGGGAAATGTCGCCAACGTTGTTTTCCCAACCATTTCAATGCCCATTATTAAACACGAAATGCGTACTTCCTTCCGTCCCACAACTGGCAAGCGACACAACACCTAACTGGTTTTTCTTAGTGTAATTGTGTGTGTGTGTGTGAGTGTGTAAATGTAACTGTCAGTGCAAGTGATGTGCGCTGTCGTCGTCGGCTTTCGAGCATCTTCACGTCTAGCGCCGGCGATGATGTAACCTGGGACCCAAAGGCCCAGCCCGGCCTGGCCCGGCCCGGCCCGGCTCGTCTCGGCTAACAGGTTGAACGTATTATGCATATATGTATGTGCTTAACTCTGGCAAAGATTTCCGGTAATTACTTTCCCGAAACTTATCGATTAATTGAGCAGAAGCTACATATACACATCGCCTTTCGATTTCTGTAGACAGTTTTTACTCGTTTTTTGTTTGACTAAAAATCAATTCAACCTTTAATCGAAAACTCGTTGGGCCGGCGGCCTTTGTGTGTGTGTGTGTGTGTGTGTGTGTTTTTTTTTAAATCGAAATTCTATAATATTATGTGTTTGCCTTTGATTATCAACTGGTTTGACGGGCCAAGTTCTGCTTTGATTTTGATAGCATTTAAGTGTTTGGCATTTTGACTTAATTTAAAGCATCCAATCGTCTGTATTTAAATAATACACGAATACACTGAGCCAAATATATGAGCTGGAACGCAAGTAAATCGTCAACTGGCCGAGTTCCATTCAAATATTTGCAATTTCCAAGTTTCAAGTAAAAAGTACTCAAAATACACTGCCAAAAACTGAGTGGGGTTTGCATGTTATGAATATGTTTGTGACTCTTAAAGAGAGTGGGGAGGATACAGTCGAGTTCAACTAAGAATTCCAACTGACAGAGTTATATTTAACTTGAAGATTTGACACGCAGATTTCTTAATATGAGACAAGCTTTATTTTCTGATATTTGAAAATATTTCGTATATATTCTATTCACATTCACATTTGTATTTCATCTAGAGTTTTGAGTAATTTTCGTTCCATTTGGAGTTTTTTAGATTTCTTAATTTCCTTTGCATCAAATCTAAGCTGTTCACACAATACTTTCAACACATTTTTCTCAGTGTACTCAGTTATATAAATATAACAGTTACAAAATATCTGAAAAGCTTTTTAATAATTCAGCTTGACTTTGCTAGCGCCAGGTTTTTACATTCAGACCATATTTTTCTCAGTGTAAAATGCAAAAAAAATGTTTTTAATTGTTAAATTTAATATATCTCATCTTTAGACTAACAATTACAGCAATTACGATTGCAATCTGCAACTTTCATGAAGTTGTTCTCAGTGTAGACGTAGCTGCACTTTAAGCAGCATTTCTTTCAGTGTACATGGCTTTGTTGAATAAACAAAGTTCGAGCTTAGATAACTGAACTTTTAAATTAAATACATATTATATAATTATATATACTATTTGATATTTAACAATTTTTAGCTTGAGCTTGGCTAAGTTTGCGCCCATTTCTCTCAGTGTACATCAAATAACTTGCTGTTCTTTAGCCAAGCAATCAGCCTGACTCAACAAAAGCAAAAGTAATAATAATGTTAATAATAATTGTACTCGATCTGCATGCCAAATGAGTTGACAGTTACTTTAGCAGCAGCTGCTGCTTTAGCTGAGAGCAGGGGAGTGGGAAGGGGGTTATGAAAGGGTGATTGTCTTTGCTTAGATTGTGTTCAGCTTCAGGGTTAAACGTCGCGAGCTGCTGCAGCTAATTGGAGCAGAAAGCGGCGAGTCTGAGCTATATGAAACAAATGTTTGGTCTAGCCTTCAAGCGAGCAGACCAGATAGATAGATAGATACCTGCTTAGCTGGGCAATTAAACTGGATTTAGTGTTTAGCGCGAGAACAAAAAAAGTGAAGTGAGGAAAAAAAGCAACAACAACAAAGCAAAAAAAAAAAAAAAGGGGGTTGGCTGCCGCGCATTTGAAATTCAATTCAATATTCAATGCGATTGCGTTTGGAATTTGTTTTTTTTTTTTTTAGTATTATTTATTTTTTTGAAAGTAAAAGCTCAAAACAGACACAACCAAGCCCAGAGCCAGGGCCCAGCGACACGCAATGGAAGGTTGCGCTAATGCCAATACGAATTGCCGCATTCCAATAAGAGCTTGCGCATACACAAATTTAAAAACAAAATGGCTGCCACTTACCGTACGCAATCAGTGCCAGGATCAGGACGCAGCTCAATTGCACGCTTCCCATTTTGCGGCGAATTCAAAATTAACTAACGGAAATGCTAACAAAAACAACAACAACAACAACCGCAACAACAACAACTAGAATGGCCTGAGCAAAAATGGCAAGCAGACGGGGGAAAAAAAAATATGAATTTAAATATAAAACAAAAATAACAACAACAATGGCAACGGGCGACGTTTCGATTTGAATTCAAC